GCCGTTCCCACCTCCACGGCCACTGCCCGCTCGGTCAGCGCTGCAAAGTGAGCCCAGGAGGGGCGTCCGGCTGCGGCGCCGCGCGGCACCGGCGAGGGCGCCGGGCGAGAGGGGTGTGAGCGCGCGGGAGAGAGTGGAGTGTGTGTGAGGAGCGTGTGAGCGCGCGTGTGTCTGTGTGTGCGAGTGAAGGAGCGGGTGTGAGCGCGTCTGTGTATGGGGAACGGAGGAGGAGCAGGCGCTGGAGGGGGGGGGGGCGGGAGGCAGGAGACTCGGCCCTCCCGGCTGCGCGTTCGCTCGCTCTCTCGGCCCGTCATTTATGCCACAGGAGCCCTAGCGGCCTCTCCATAGAGTGCCTGGAATGCGAGACGTCAATGTGACGCCATGGGACGCTACGTCCCCCTCCTCCTCCCTCCCCTGGCCCAGCCGGTTCCGCGTGTGCGAGGGTGTGTGTGTGTGTGTGTGTGTGCGCGTGTGTGGGTGCGCGCGTTCCCCGGCTATTTGCACGGCCGCACAATGAAAACCGCGGGTAGCTGCCGACTCTGGCCCCGAGGCTTCTCAGACCCGCGCGGCCAATCTCTCCGCACCCGAGCCGCTCGCCAGGGCGCTCGTCTACCGGAGGGTGCCGCAGCCAGCCGGCGGGTCAGGCGGGACCGCCCAGCTGTCAGGCTCCGGGTGGAGTAGAGTTGGAGGAGTGCTGCTGGCTGGCCTCCGAGGCTGCCCCGAGGCATCCAGCCAGGTCGAGGGGGTAAGAGAGAGGACAGCTCTTCCGAAAGGGAAGGCTCGGCCAGCCAGTTTCTCCGAGTGACCTGGCAGTCACTGCTGAAGGAGTCTGGCACCAGCCCGAAGACTCCCCGAGGTGCAGCTGTGCTTTCCTCATGCAATGGTTCTAAGGCTGTTTACGTCTCTCTGGCCCTCTGCGCCTAGGCTAATTTGCCGCCTCCCCCTCCTCCTCCTCCTGTCTGTTGCTGGTGTTTCGCACTGGGATGCAGACTGGCTCCAGGACAAAATTTTATTTCTTTATACTTATGGTGTGGGGTGCTTTACTGGACACTTTATAACCCAAAGAAGTGCACATCCAGCCAGGCGCGCGCTGCACGAGAAACTATATGTAAAACAAACACACCACACGCGTTGAGCAGCTGAGCGAGTATGACTGTTAAACAGAGCGTCTCTCCTCCCCAGCACCGGGTCACACAGGGAACTCCACTCGCACTTTCACTTTTTTTGAGGGTTGTAGACGCCTCCCCTCCCTCCCAACTCTCAAATGAAATATTTCAAAATCAATCAACGGGATTTATTAATCTGTCTCTAGGGGATGTCCTATGGTCACCCGGGACACATTTGTCTTCTTAGTTATGCAGAAAGCCTGGGCGATTATATGAGAGACAGCAATTTCTTCTTGGAAATGAACTTAGGGTGTCACTTTCTTGTTGAAAACAAAACAAAACAAAAAACAACTCTTAGTTCCAAAGGTTGCTGCTAAATGGAAGTAACCTTTCTCAGAAATTATTATTATTATTATTATTTTTTACGAAGGAAATGCTTGAATGAAACAATCCAGACATCTGCGGTCTCTGGTGGCCTGCTAGAATCTCAGGTGGCATTTTCTTTAGACCTGTCCCAACATTTGAGCGTGTGGGTGTCATAGTTGGGGGAAGAGGATCCCCTTGTGGTAGCACACGTTTCAGAATCGAAGAAGGTTCGAGCTAGGACCAGGGACTCGAAAATCAAAACAACAAGTGTCTGTAAGTCTACGCCTCCACTTTCACTTCAGCAAGCTAGTGTGCCTAAGACCAGGAGAGGACGCTCCGAAAGTTGCCCTCACCCAGTGGAACCGAGCCCCCTGTCGCCTGCGGGTGCGTTCCCATCCCCGCCCAGAAGGAAGGAGGGCGCTCCTACATTGTATCCATTCAAAGGCTGGGGGTTGGGGGAGCAGGACCTGGAGCCGCGCGGCGCTGACGCACGCGAGGCGCGTGATTGACGCAGGCGATGTTACTAAATTGGGCGGTTGGCCGGGCCCTAGCG